TTCCTATGTTTCTTCTCCAAGAAAAAAGGGGGTAGCTTATTTTCGGAGGTGGCTTATTTTCGGCAATATACGGTATGCTAAAATAGAACAAAATCATTTAATTTACTTAAGCATAATCAAAAATCTCTTTGTGCTAAATTTTATCAAGGTATTATAGATACAGTATATGCTGGAGATTGTAGTAATACTGTTGGTTGCTATATAATTCTTCTATTATCTTTTACAGGTGGACCACATCAAATGTATTAGTTATATCAGGATGCAATAGCAATTATTACTTATTTTGAAAAACCAGATCTTTTTGTTATATTTACATGTAATTCTAAATAGCCAGAAGTTACTAGAGAATTATTATCCTATCAGAATGCTGTTGATAGACCTGATTTAACAGCCTGTGTGTTTCATATAAAATTACAAGCACTATTAAAAGATTTGTATAATAATTATTGGCTTGGTAAAGTTATTGCATATATATATATAATAAAGTTTTAAAAACATGGTCTTCTCTATATACATATTTTATTAATTCTTACTTCAGATAACAAATTATGAACTACAGAAGATTATAACTCTATTGTCTCTGCTAAACTCCCTGATATTCGCACATATTATCTTGCTATAAGACAGTAACAACTATGATAATATATGGTCTATGTAGTTTATTAAAACCTGACACACTATGTATAAAAGATAGTGTTTGTATAAAACATTATTCTAAAACTTTTCAAAAGCATATCTTAGAAAGTAATAGTGGATATTCTATTTATCACAGACAAAACAATGTACGCTTTGTTAAAAATAGAATCCCATTAGACAATACATAGGTTGTGCTACATAATGTCAAATTATATACAAAATACAATGCTCATATTAATGTTAAAATTTGCAGTTCTATAACAGCTGTTAAATATCTATATAAATATATATATAAAGGGCATAATCGAGTAACTATTACATTTGCTTATTCCAATCAAGCTAATAATCAACAACTTTCACCTGAAGTTGTCCAAATTGATGAAATCAAAATATATCTGGATACAAGATATGTTTTAGCTTCAGAAAGTATTTGGAAAATTTTTCATTATAAATTGCATAACCATAGTCCAAAATACAAAGGCTTGCTATTCATCTTTCTGGATATTACTATGTTATATTTTAAGATAAAGAAAATCTTGAAGAAATTGCTAACTGTACTAAAAATCATATGACAACTTTGACAGCTTGGTTTTAGAAGAATATGCAAAACCCAATGGCATATATATATATTTATATTGACTTTCTTTCTTATTATACTTGGAATTCTTCACACTGCAAATAGATACCTAGAAAAACATCAGCAACTATGATTGGTCGACTTTATATAGTACAACCTTTAAAAGGTGAAAGATATTACTTATGAACTTTACTTAGTTATGAAAAGGTGCAACTAGCTTTGATGACCTAAAAACTATAAATGATTATACATGTAGTAGCTTCAAAGAAGCTTGCTCTTTTCTAGATATTTTTTAAGATGATACTAAATGGGATACCTGTTTGCTTGAAGCAACTTCTATACAAACAGGATACCAACTACAACAGCTTTTTGCAACTATACTTTTATTTTGCCAATCTGTAAAACCTGAGTTATTATAGAATAATCATAAAATTGCATTGTGTGAGGATATTTTATATCGAGCTCATATGCAATTACAAGATCTTGAAGATGCAAATGATATTCTTGCTACAATTGAGCATGAAGCTTTTACTCAATTGAAAAATATACTTTTACTAAGTGAAAAATCTTTAAAAAATTTTCCTAATATGCCAATTCCCTCTATCACTTCAAATATTAGTAATAATAAAGAAAAATTAAATCATTTAATATGTGAAGAGAGATCTTACAATATAACAAACTTAGAAACTGAATTACAATGCAATATACTTTTGTTAAATAATGATCAATGTGCAGTATTTGATGCTATTATAAGAGCAATTGACAATGAAGAAGGAGAATGTTTTTTTATTGATGGACCAGGTGGTATAGGCAAAACTTTTTTATATAACACTTTACTAGCAAGTGTTAGATTATGTCGTCATATTGCTTTGGCAATAGCTTCTTCAGAAATCGCAACACTTTTAATAAAAGGTGGATGTATAGCTCATAGTTATTTCAAAATTTCACTTAAACCTAATAAATCTTCTACATGTAATATTTTATGAAATAGCAAAAAAGCTCATTTAATTAGTATTGCAAAACTTATTATTTGGGATGAAGCCTCAATGACTAATAAATTTGCATTTAAAGCTCTTAATAAAACATTTTGTGATATTATACAAATAGATAAACCATTTGGTGGAAAAGTTATTGTTTTTGGTGATGATTTTTGTCAAGTACTACCTGTTGTACCTCGTGGCTCCTATGCAAATATTGTTTCAGCTAGCTTACCCTGCTTTTCATTATGGAGTAATATGAAAGTTATAAAATTAACAATTAATATAAGACTCTAGCAAACTGATATTAATAAAAATCAAAGACAAAAAGAATTTGCTAAGTTTCTTTTATAAAAAGGAAATAGAACATACCGTATATTACCAAATAAAAGCTACCAAAAAATTTTCGATTTTCTTCGATTTTCTTAGGCTAAACTGCAGGGGTAGCTTCTATTCGGGTCTAATT